CATGAGGCGTTATACCCGGCGGCTCAATGGGTTATATTATGACCGTGATTGTGTAGGAGGGGCGTATCTCGCACAGGGGACATGCGCGAGGCCTCTGCAGGTTTATTAAAACCGATAGGCTAAAACAGCAAGGCTTCATGCAGGGAGCCGTGCTGTCTACTTAATCAACAGAATTAGTCGGCAGCCGGCTTAATTACCGGCTCGCTTTCCTCGGAGGCTCTTCGCGGAGCAGACCAGGAGCGTGGCGAAGCCTCACTCCCCTTTGACTCGCCCGGCCGGCGGAGACCCTGGTCTCTGGGCTGGCGGCGGGAGCGGAGACGGTGGGAGGGAGCCCCTGCCCAGGCCGCCGGGGCGGTGTGCTGTGGGCGTCTCTCGGCCTTGCGCCTCCTGTGGCCTGCGTGGATGCGCCGGCGCTGCTGCGGGCCCGTTTGCTGCCGCTGTTTGGCAGGCTCAGCCGGACTGGAGCCAGCTTACATGCTGGCGAATGCCGCTCCACCTGTCCGCCGGCCGTCTTCATGGACTCCACCATGGCGTGGAACTGGGTCCGAACAGCCCCGTCCGGGCTGAATTGGAGCGTCCAGTAGCCCAAATTTCTGGCCGTCGTCCGTAACAGACGCCCGGCCCGCCGCTGTGGTGACGAGAGGGGAAAGCATTGTTCGGCCGCCCAAGCCTTGCACCCTGCTCGCGACTCTGTCTCCCCCGTCCCGGGGAGAGGGGGGAGGAGGAGAACCGAACGGTGAACCGTGCGAAGGGAGGCGGGGCAGGAGTTGCTTTGGAACTCCCTGCCCGGGCACTTCTGCTCCCAGGGACCATGAGTCCGCGGGCTCGTAGCTCTGGACGGGAATCGTCCTCCTCGGCCACCAGCAGCAAGGAGTGTCCGCTCTCCGGCTTTCCTGTCGCCCGAGGGGAGACGAGCGCAGTGCATGCTACCTGCTGGTTTAGAGCCGCGTACGCGTGCTCTGACCCCCGGCAGGATTCGCATACTGCTTTTATCTCTGCAGGTCATAACTCATTATGAACCCAGAGCCACATGAGGGACAATCACGGACGCAGTTGTTGCTCATGATGATTCTCAATTGCTGTGCTTCAGTAACTGTGCTGGTTTGCTGAAAAAAAGAGGGAGCAGATTGCCGGGCCTCCTTCCTATTTATACCGGAAGGAGGCCCGAGGGTGGG